GCATGGCTTAGAGGAGCAGCTGAGGAAAGTGGGGTTGTTCAGCCTGGAGAAAAGGGGGCTGAGGGGAGACCCTACCACTCTTCACAAGTACCTGAAAGGAGGTTGTAGAGAGGTGGGGGTTGGTCTGTTCTCCTGAGTAACAGGCGATAGGACAAAAGGAAATGGCCTCAAGTTGCACCAGAGTAGATTTAGGATGGACACTAGCAAAAGTTTCTTCACATAAAGGGTTATCAAACATTGGAACAGGCTGGCCAGGGGAGGGGGTGAGTCAACAAAAAAGTATTTAAAAGACAGGTAGACACTTAGGGGCATGGTTTAGTGGTGGAGTTGGCAGTGTTAGGTTAATGGTCAGACTTGATGATCTTAAAGGTTCCTTCCAACCTAGACAGTTCTATGATTCTAAATTACTCCATATTTGTATCATGAATACTTTCGTGCTCCCCTGTCAGAATCACACTGTTTCAGAAGAAGCCAATTCAGCATGAGCACTTTAGTGCTTTCAGAACAAGACAGTCACTGAACCGTACCTTAGCTGGATGACAAATGCCATCAGGTTGTAATTAAAAGCAAAATGTGCAGATAAGTGATGACTATGACAGCAAGAGTGGCAAAACGAAGCTCTTCATTCATATACATAACAGCATCAAAAGCAGCATGGCCAGAAGGTTGAGGGAGGTGATTCTGCCCCTCTACTCTGCTCTGGTGAGACCCCACCTGCAGTACTCTGTCCAGCTCTGGGGCCCCCAACATAGGAAAGACATGTACCTGTTGGAGCAGGTCCAGAGGAGGGCCACGAAGATGATCAGAGGGCTGGAGCACCTCTCCTGTGAGGACAGGCTGAGAGAGTTGGCGTTGCTCAGCCTGGAGAAGAGAAGATTCCAGAGAGACCTTATAGCCTTTTCCAGGACCTACAGGCGGCCTACAGGGGAGGGACTCTATCAGGGAGTGTAGTGATAGGATGAGGGGTAACAGTTTTAAACTGAAAGAGGATAGATTCAGATTAGATATTAGGAAGAAATTCTTTACTCTGAGGGTGGTGAGAGACTGGCCCAGGTTGCCCAGAGAAGCTGTGGATCCCCCATCCCTGGAGGTGTTCAAGGTCAGGTTGGATGGGGCTTTGAGCAACCTGGTCTAGCAGGAGGAGTACCTGCCCATGGCAGGGGGGGTGGAACTAGATGATCTTTAAGTTCCCTTCCAACCTAAACCATTCCATGATTCTATGATCACTTGATGCAGATGAGAGCACCTTATAAGGTTAGGAGATGCAAAGCCGAAAGTCAGTGCTTTTGAGAAATGTGGTTTTTCAGGATAACCCCAGTGCTTGCACTGTCAAAATGCTTTTCTTTACATCTCATAATTGCTAGGGTTAAAGGCTGGAAAATCAAGTCTTTCCTTCCTCGATCTCTCTACTACTGTGCAGTTTCAAGCATAAGCAATAGTCACAAAAACTTCATCCACCCCATTAATTTAGCTGATCTATATAGCCTGTTAGAACCAGAAAAAGACACTGCCTTCCTATGCTCCCTCATCACTTTGGATACCCACTTAAGATAAGCACTTAACACTAAATGAAGGGAAAGGCTTAACATACCTGCTTTAAACAGTGGCTACTGTTTGGGGAGAGATCTTGTCCTCATGCTTTCCTTTATGTTAAACATCATTTACTAGATACCATTAATAAGAACACACTTAAGTGCAGCTAGAAAGAGGCTGTGTAAGAAGAGAATGCTGCAATTCCTACTTGTGCCATTAAACGCAAGTGTGGGCTCTCCTCTTCTTCAGCCTTAATGGATCTGTCAGTAAAACTGCTACCACACTTTATTTCTGGTTGCACTGGAGGAGTCAGACAGCAAAACTTCATTTTCAGAGCTCCACATTCAGTTTGCAGTGCTGACACCTAGAGTTAAGCTTTCTACTTTGTAAAATAAATGGGTTTGATTTGCAGCTACACAAACATGGAATGTACATTTCATGGTGTCATTTAAAAAAATATCAGTATTAAAAACATCTCTCCATTTTGGAGGCAAACAAATTCCCATTCAACCAATACTTCCGTTTATCCAAATGACAGACAAACAAATACTGGGGTGTGGAGAAAGGCTTCATTCAACATTATATAATAATAGCCTGACAAAACAACAAAGTGTACATGCAGATAGGACATGCATGAACTCTTTGCCCTTTTTCAAAAGGTTTTCCACGCTAACTCTAGCCAATTATTTCTGAGTATTTCAATCTACAGCCTAACTTTGAACCAAAAAAAAAAAAAGCCTCCATTTTCAAGTTTTTCAGATGAGAATTCGCACTGCCTTGAACCCTGAGGATGCGGTAAGCACAAAATGCCTGAGTGATCCCCTAGTAGTCTAATAAAAGCCACTGAGAAATTTACTAGAGTTGTTGCTACACTGATGAAAATCCAGCTAAAGACAAAAACTTCTGTTTGAGCAAGACACAGTCACAGGCATTGGCTTGTTTCTCTTCAATTTGAAAACATCGGTGCTGTTTTTTACTGCCAATAGAAAAATACAGCTGGAAGTATAGATGTACCCACAGCCTAGAATCAGGGAGAAGGGGTGACAACATCAAAATCATTGCCGACGGTAGTCATTTGTCACTACACTATATGAACCATGTGGATAAAGGGGCTTGTTCAAGCTTATTTGCTGAAGTGCAGCTCAGGAAATGGTGGGCCCTATTATTCAAAAAAATGAAATAGTGCAAAAGAGCAGAGGAAGAATAGGAGCGTAGACACTGGCAGATTAGGGCTGTGGGGGAAGTGCAAGGTCAGTACGGAGTCAGTAAGTGAGAGGTCAGAAGAGAACTAACTCTAAGAGACAGCTGGGGAATGAGAAAGGTTATTTATGGAGAATAAGGTTGAATTTCATTCAGGATTGCAGAATAAGAAAGAAGGCTAGGAAAGAGCTTGAAATGATTGTTATCAGCTTCGTCTGTAGACAAGTGGGTGCTGGGGAAGATCAAAGTATTTAGAGAACAAATACATAAGCTTAGACTTTAAAAGGGATTGAAAGTTGCAGTATTCAGCCACTTCCCCCTCCATCTCATAAACAAATTATATTGAATCCTGCCGTTTTTGACAAAAGACTGAATGACTCCCAGATCTCCCTCAAATTTCCAT